ACCCCTGCCCAAGGAGGCCGCACCCACCACCCACTGGCCCCAGGCCAACAGGACCCCAGGTGATAAACTTGAAACTCTCAGAGACTGAGGTTGAGAGAGGCTGTGTGTGTGCGTGTGTGTATCACAGGCATTTGACAGGTTTTCAGTCGCTTCATCTCCAAATCCAGGCAGCTGGTGGCACCTCCCACCACTCAGGGAGCCCCCCGGGGACCTAGCCACGTTGAGTCCCTGTGAGTTCTGCCCTCCTTGTCCTGCCTTTTGTCCTGTGTCCCCTCTCTCGTTCTTCTCTCACTTCCAAGAACAAAACTCATTTTAAGTGTTTCTGCCACCACAACAGAGAACTGTGTGCAGTGTTAGGGAGGAAACAGAAGGGAAACAATTCAAGCCGTTTCATTCAAGTTGCGTGCGCCAAGAAAGGCATCTCCTTTAGCTGATTTGTGATAAGCCTATAGACACCTAAAATGGGTTCTAATCATATATCCTACATTAATGTATAATCAACACTTGAAATTTGACCAGGATCAAGGTGCCTTTTGAAACTGTGAATAAGAGAAAGAAATCTCACCCAGACATAGAGCAACCCGTACACACCTCTGCCATAAAGTGTATCGAGCTGTAGTTGCATGTGTGTTTGTGACAAGGCTGACTTGCCTGCGTCTCTCCCAGCTCAGGGTGTTTTATCTCCGAATCTCCAGTGCATAGCATATTCCTGGCTCATTGTAGGAATTAGCAAATATTTGTTGGATAAGTAAATCCTCTTTTCGAAATACAGGCCCAGGTCATAGAAACGAAAATGTAGTTTATGCTCTTTTTTTGAGTCGGGCAAGCATGTCCCAAGTAGCAAGTCAATAGTGACAAAATACTGCTGGAATTAGCACCAGTCGACGAGCCAGGATTCAGAATAAATGACCTTCATTCTATATTTTTATGTTTTGTTTAAGTCCTTCTCTTTTATCTTCTAAGATATTTATAGATAAAATAATATAAAGTCTGGATTTGCTCCAACATACCTTAGGAAACTGGGATTATAGATGAGACAAGACTGGCTGTGTGTGGATAATTGTTGGAGCTGGATGGTGGGGATATGGGAATTCATAAAACTAGTCTCTCTAATTTTGAAATTAAATTTCAAAATATGCTTGAAATTTTTCATTACAAAAGGTTTTTATTACCCCCGTCTTAGGAAAAATGTAATTGAAATGAACCAGAAATTTTAGAAAAAACTAAGCTAACAACTCACAACATTGGTAACATGCCCCTTTAGGGCAACGATGCTCACCTACGGCCCCCATGGATCCGGTCAGAGGGACAAGATGCTCACAGAGCTGGTGTTCAAGGACTTTCTTGGCTGCTACCTTGTTGCTCTACAAATGTACATGCTAAGCCTCCAAAATGGATAGTAGTGGCGGTAGTAAATTACATCATCACTTCAATGACTTCTTCAGTGGAAACTGATTAAGAAGAAAAAACTAGTAAACAATCCCAAAGACCATGTTTCAGTATGTGGCTCTCGGGGAAACCTTTTTCAGAAAGTGAGGAAAGACATTAACAAGAAATTTCTATCAAAGTTCCATTATTTCAAATAGTCTTGCACAAAATGTGAGGCTGAAGGGGTAAATACACATGCTCTTACTTTTCTGATGATGCTGTTTTAGCATCTTCCTTATCTGGGTTTGTAGGATGCTTTTAGTTTTGACCACTTGTTAAGGTTTTCAGTTTAAGTGTTTCCTGTGCAATTTGGAAATTTGGTTGTAAAAGCAATTTCAAGTACCTGGAAATTTAAACCTTGATTCTAACTTCAAAAGACAACTAAGTATGGAATATCTAGGTAATATTCAAATAACTGAACATCAGAACAGTGAAATAAGTTGGCACACTTGGATGTTTTAATGGGCCCCCAAATGCTACCAGGAAGATCAAGCTGCCCTATCAGAGATCAGCAGTGGATTTCTAGGATTTCCAAAAGGGAACACCCTGAATGTCACCTAAGCCATCCTTAGCCCGGGATTTGAGCAAACAAAGCCATTCCACAAATGCTGAGACTGTATTTCCAAAGGCATTTTTAAATGACCTTGGAAATTCAGTGCAACGAATACAATATTTTTGGAGGGGAGGAGGCTGGAATTAAGAGAGCACATAAGTATTTTTTTATTGCTGAAACAGAAGTGATGTAAGAAGAGAGAGCTCAACTCCAAAGGATATACCTAAAATTAAAAGCAGTATTTAATTACTCCTCACATTAAAAAATATATGTTCATATGCATACATATATGTATTTGCATGTGTATATATGTATGTCTATGCATATATATAAAAGGGGGCATTCATTTCTCATTTTCCAGAGGAAGGTGGAAAAAGCCACATAAAATAATAAACATTCTTATTTTGCCAATTATAATAACCGTTCATGGTTATTATACAAACACGAATTATCATATATAATCCTCATCTCTGCTCTCTCAGTTACTGGTAATATTCCCACTTTAAGGTGACGGAAACTGACGCCTGGGAAGATAAATCATGTGTTCAAGGTCATACTCCTCAGGGAACGCCCCCACCTCTCAATTTACAGTGATCTACTTTATTGAAGGCTCATGACTGTAAATAGTGGTTTCTCCAGCATTGGTTTTGGAAGAATCTAGATCTAATTGTGAATTTGAAAGTGTTCATCCATCATTTCCCACCCTTTTCTAAAAATAGTTTCCCCATTTCCTAAACAAATGCTCACAATGAATGACCTCTGGGGGAGACATTCATGGACAAGCAAAATATTATTCTTACCGAAAGCAGCTAAGTGTTTCCATATCTTGGCTGTTGTGAACAACACAGCAACGACCGTGGGAGCGCAGATGTCTCTACAAGGTGCTGATTTCATTTCCTTTGGGTATATACCAGAAGAGGCATTGCTGGCTCATGTGGGAGTTCTCTTTTTCATTTGGAGGGAACCTTCATACTCTTTTCCATAAATTGTGGTATGTACACACACACGAATACTATTCAGCCTTAATAAAGGAGATCCTGCAATTTGTGACAACATGAATGAACCTGGAGGACGTTATGCTAAGTGACATAAGCCAGACGCAACAGGGAAAATACTGCATGATCTCACGTATAAATGGGATCTACAACAGCTGAACACATAGAAGCAGAGAGTAGATTGGTGATTGCCAGGGGGCAGGGGGGAAATGAGAAGTTGTTGGCCAAAGAGTACAAACTTGCAGTTCTAAGATGAATAAGCTCTGGAGACCTAATGTACAGCATGGTGACTATAGTTAACAGTAACATACTGTATGCTTGAAATTTACTCAGAGTAGATCTTAAGTGTTCTCACCACACACACACACACACACACACACACACACACTCACACACACACACACTCACACACAGTAACTATATGAGGCGCTGGATATGTTAATTAGCTTGGTTGTGGTAATAATGATTTTATAATATACATCAAAACATCACATATATGAGAAAATGAATATACAATTTTTATTTGCCAATTACACTTCAGTAAAGCTGGAAGGGCCAAGAGCAGCTGATTCATCTACAGGGTTAAAGCCAGGGCTCTCAGTGGGAAGTTCCACCAAAGGCTGGAATAGACAGGGCTGTCTTGGTAGATAGGAAAAGCGATAAACCCACCCGCAGATGACCAGGCAGGCCATGACTTTGCAGGACTAGCAGATGGCACCAAAAAGTCACTGTAGTCTTTCTCACCTCCCCGAGTGGCTGCTGTGGCTCAGGACAAACCTTTGGCGGCATCTTTGACTCCTCTCTCTCTCTCTCACCTCACATCCAATCTGTTAGCGAATCCGAAACTTCTAAATATGTCCAGAATATGACCACTTCTCACACTCCACCGCCACCACCTCCAGCAGGACTGCCATCGTGTCGTGCCTGGAGTCTCACGGTGGCCTCGCTTGGTCTCCCTGCCTCATGCAGGCTCCTCTTAATACAGCAGTCAGGATGGTCTCTTAAAACCCTGAGTCAGGCCAAGGCAGCTCTCTGCTCTGAACCCTCCAGGGCTCCTCTGTCACACTTAGAGTCGAAGCCAAAGTCTTTGCAATGCTCCGAGGCCCTACGTCATCTGCCCCTGTCCAGATCCCAACCCTGGTCCCTGGACCTCATCTCAGACCTTCCACTCTCCCCCTGGCTGACTCCACTGCATGCCCACAGCCCCCCACCCATTTTCCTCCAACACGCAGGGCCTTTGCACTGTTTCCTGTCCCTGGAACACGCATCCCTGGATAACCCCAGGGCTCACTCTCTCGCCTTCCCCAAGTCTTTGCTCAGACATCACCTTCTCAATGAGATCTTCCTTGACCTCCCTATTTAAAATTGTGACCTTCTCCACCCAGCACTCCGATCTTTCTAGCCCGTGGCATTTTACCCCATAACACTCATCACCTTCTCACTTATGATATCGATTACCTAGTTATCCTGTTTATTGTATACAGTCGATCTCCCCACCCCTCCCCACAACACACAGTGAGTAAGCACCAGCAGGACAGAAATCTTTTTTTTTTTTTTTGACTGTTCAAGGTTTATTTGGTGGTTTAGTTGGCATGACATTTGGATAGTTGATTGCATTGTTTATATGTAGACCTTTCTTTTTACCTTATATGGCAATGTACGGTACGGATACACACAAAACAAGATCCTCAGAACAGTTATGGACAAGGACATGCAATGTTGGGTTTACTCATGGGATCCCAGGATGTGACTGGGAGAAAAAGCTGGACTAGACGTGTTGGGTGAAGGAACCAGAAGTTATACAACACACGGTACACACATACCTGGTTCAAGGGCAACTGCAGCATGTGCAGCATTGGCAGTGGTGCATCAGCGGTGGTGGAACTATTTTACATTAGCCAGTTTAGGGCGACACAGGGCAAGGACCACCCAGTATCAGGATACAGCTGTAGAGTTTTATGAACTATTCCCATTTCTAACTTTAGGATTTGATGTTTTTTCCAGGCCATCTTAATAGTGCTGCTTTAATCACAGATCAGATAAAAAAGACAACATGCACAACTCCCAACTAAAATCTGTGGTAGCCTAGACAGTGAAGTGGTGCGACACTAGGAGACTGTAAAATTGCAGCTCTTTTTGGATCCCCCAAAGTGTACCTGTCCTCAGGAGTCAGAGTCACCTTCACAAGGTCTGAGGTTCCATTCTGTGGCCAGATGCAAGGAACACTAAGGAAGATATCATCCTTTATTCCATAGAAACCCTTAATCACGGTGGAAATTGGAAGCACACGCCTAAGATTCTACATTATACTTTCTGCCAAATCTGCCACAGACAGTCCAGTGGCCCAGGATGTGTAGCCTTTCACCTTTCAGTCTGATCACCTCATAAGCACTCTCAACTACCTGCTTGTGAACCTCTTTCCACTGTTCCTTATCTTTATCAGTGCCTAAATCCAGGTGCAGATTCTTCAGGGAAATTCCAGCAACATTCACTCCACTCCATACAGGCACACCAGAGTCTCCACGCTCCCCGAGGACCCATCCATGACAGCTTAACGGATGAACCCCCAGCTTCTCCACCATCAGTAACGGAACCGGGCTGAATCCAGATTGCAACCACTTCCAGTAACACAGTTTTTGGGAAAGCCACTTATCTTCCAAGTCACATAGATCAAGATATCCACTGGCTTCGAAAGAATAAGCAACTTGCAATTTGGGCTGTATTTTACAACATTAGGAATGATGAATTTAAAGATGTTCACATTACGCTGGACCAAATTAAGACGGCTTTCTCCATCCTGCTGATGTGCCCCAGCTGTGACAATAACCAGGTTGGAGTTTGGAGTCGCATCATAGTCTTTGCCAGACACGATGTTTGGTGCTCTAAGGAAAAGGCTGCCATGTTGGGGATCCATCATCTCTCCCTTCAATTTGTCTTCAATGACATCAACAAGAGCAAGCTCATCTGCCAAATCCTTCGTTAAGATGCTGATGGCACAGCCATGCCAACAACACCAGCCCCAACAGCTGTAATCTTATTCTGGGGTGTCTGTTCTTCCTTTAGAAGATTATGAGTCAGCTGATCCTTGCAAGTTGCCACACTGGACTCGGAACCAAAAGCAATCGGGAATGCAAGTCAGGCGGGCATCGGGGGTGCACAGCAACGACTCCAGCACCAGGGCAGAAAGCTTTGCATCCTCAGGGATGCAGTCCCAGGCCCATAGTAGGCATAGTTTGTGAATAAATTAATAAGTGAATAAATTAATTGTCATGAAAGAGCGAGCTGAAGATGAATCTTCCAAGAATCTTGCCTGGCTCCCCTCCTACCATGGAAAAGAAGTCGATGTGGTCAAACGAAAGAACCCTAATGTACCCAAAGAAAGAGCCATAGATCAGGACTTTCCCCAGAAAACTGTATGAATAATAAAACCACAATAAAAGTAGATATTTACCAAGGATCTTCTACCCCCCAAGCATGATGAGAAGTCCCCCCCTCAACTTCTTAAACTCAACCGTAGGAGGTGCTCAGATCTCATCTGTGAGTGTGCAACTTTATCTCATCTGTGAGTGTGTAACAATTCTGACACCAAGTGGGGTCCTACAATATGATCTTGGAGCTAAGCCCCCAGAATTAGTGCTGACCTCACAAGGTACGAGCTCGGTTCTGCACGAGACAGCCCTTACTTCAGACACCACCATAGCCCAGGTGTTCTCAAGCCACCTGCACTGCTGACTGACTGGCTGCCCATGCGAGGGTCCCATGACCCCCTCAAGTTTAATAATTCACTAGAAAGTCTCAAGACACCAGGGCAGCACTTCATTTACAACTACAGCTTTTGTAAAGAGACACACAGGCCAAGGTCTGAGACTGCAGAGCTTCTGAGCCCTCTCTGCAAGGACTGCGGGCCCATCACCCTCCCACACATCAGTGTGTGCACCAACCAGGAAGCCCCTCCGAACCTCAGTGTCCAGAATTTTCAGTGGGGTCTCATTACATAGGCAGGACCATAGCCAGGGTCATTGGCCACATGGTTGAGCTCATTCTCCAGCACACCGTCCCCTCCCCTCCCCAAGGACACGCTGCCCCAATGCCTTAACCTCTAGTCACATGGTTGTTCTTTTTGGTGACCAACCCCCATCCTAAGTCTCTCATCCCTCAGCATAAACTCAGGGGCGATCCAAGAAACTCAAGAATGACAAAGACACTCCTATTACTTAAGAAAATCCAAAGATCGTAGAATCTCCCTCCCAGGAAGCAGGAGCAAAGGCCAGCCAAATTCTTTATTCTACAAAAATAACATTACCTAAATTCTCTTTCGAGGCCCCATTTGGCTGACAGAAAGGCACTTTGGTCCATTCTTTGGCTATATTTTCTACAGGATTCATTTCTATTTCCAGGGGTGGGAGTTGGGGTTCACATGGCTCCAGGATGACAGAGTAGGAGGAGGCATGCCTCTGGGCACTGGTCCCCTCTGCTGTAGCCGTGGCACCTGGAGCGCCTGGCGTGCAGGGGACACTGTGAGGCTGCTAAGGCCTGGCCCATCTACACCCACTGACTCGAAGCCCCATTTCCTCTCCGGGCTCTTTCTGCTTCTTTAGGGTCTGTTTAGAGCATGAGGCACAAGGTTTCTGTGCTCTTCCGTCCCACAAAGCTTTTCTTAATCTAGACTCAGCTGGTGGAAGACAGCGGGTGCAGGCCCTTTTAGCTCAGGGACCACAAATATTTATGCACCCACTTCCCCTCCAGCTGTCCTCCTTCCACAGCCTGGAGCATCCCTTTCTGATTTCAGAAGCAAAGAGCCTTGGTCCCCATAATATGCTTTCTCTTCTAGCTGAAAGCTACGCCTATATCTGTCCCTTTCCTTACTGAGGGCTACCTCTTAACATCCAAAGGCCTGTTTTCATCTAGACGTTGTGTGCCTCCTGACACAATGCAAATGCACACAGCAGCACCTAGGAAATATCCTTGTCACAAAACGTTGAACCTGCATCTAATTGAACTTCCCCAGCTAACTTCTGCTTACTGGACTTACAGGGGATAGAGGAACAAGTACATGACACCATAAGGAAGCAAACAGACACATGCAGAATGTGGGACATTCTCCAGGACAACTGACCCGGTCTCTGCAGCAAATCAAGGGAAGGAGAATTAAAAGAAAAAAAAGACACTGCTCTAAATTAAAAGATACTTAGGAGATATAACTACCAAATGCTATGTGGGGACCTTGCTTGGACCCTGATTTGTACAAACCAATAATAAAGAGACACTTTGGAGACAAGTAAGGACATTTTACTATGGACTGAATATTACATCCAGTATTATACATTGCTAAAGAAGTAGCATGCATTTCATAGGTGTAATTATTGCATCGTGGTTATGTAATAAAAAGTTAACAATATTTAGAGCTATGTACTGAAGCATGTAGAGATTAATTAATGTGATTTCTGGGATTTACTTTAAAGTATTCCAGCATACTAAAAAGGAATAAATACAACATGTAACAAGACTTATTTTAAAATCAGATTTATTGAGGTTTACGCATGATAAAGTTCACCCTTTTAAAGTTTTATTAGTTCTGACAAATGTATACAGTTCTGTAACCACCACAAGAGTCAAGATATAGAACACTTCCTTCACCCTACAAAGCTCCATAATTATAGGATCTAGGCAATGAGTGTATTGAGGTTCACTGTATTATTTCCTTATTATTGTGCATAACTCAGAGTAGATCTGGCAAATATAATAAGATCGAGAATATACTTGGGACATGGGATGACTGTAAGACTGGCAGGGCACATGGAAGTGGGCAGCGGAATGAATATCTGATTCTGGAACTTGGAAAAGAAGTGTCTCAGGGACAGTCCCCAAAAGCCACCCTGAGACAAGAGTTCACGTGCAAGTGATTTATTAAGGACATGCTGATGAGCTCCAGCATGAACACATAGCAGGGCCCAGAAAACACTCTCCCTAAAATAGTTAAATCTATTCCAGCCCCTAGAACTAACTTCCTTTTCATGGGGATAAAGAAGGTGAAAGGCCAGAAAGTAGAAACTTGAGCTGCCCGCCTGCTGACCCCAGAAACCGGGGGCATCTGAACCTCTCCTGCTCTCAACATACCATCGACAGCCCCCCAGTCGATAACCGAGTCCTGTTGATTCTCTCCCAAAATAAACTTCCTGCCCAGCCATCTATGCCCACCCTCCTAGCAACCCAAGCAAGGACCTCCTCTCACCTGTACGACGTCGATAGCATCCCAGCTGGTCTTCCTTTCTTGCCCCAACCCACCCCATTCTGCACACAGCGGCCAGGGATCTCTTTAAAAGGAAAATCAGAAATTGTCCCACATTTGCTTAAAGTGTTTCCATGACACGGCCCGGCAGTTGCTCAGGCAATTAAACTTAGAGTAGCCGTATAACCCCGCAATTCCACTCCTAGGTGTGTATCCAAGAGAAATGAAAACACATGTCCACACAGAATCACCCCGCAAAGGCCATATCTCCTGGTACTGTTGCGTTGGGGATTCAATTCCAACATGAATTTCGGAGGGAGCAAAAATGTTCAAACCATAGCAGGACATAAACTTGATTTCTCATTGACAGAACAGATGCAACTCAACGGCGTGGATAAAAAGTGCTTATCATGTCCAGGAACTTAGTGCTTATAAATTCACAACAGCCTAATAAAGTATGGGCTCTTATTATTACCACTTCATAGATAGAGAAAATGAAGCTTAGAAACTTTAAGGCCACAAAGCAATATAAGTTAAACCAAAATACACATATCTCCCAATTACGCAGTACATGGAAACCAAAAATCAACTCACTGTGTGACCCATTGGTCCCGTGGTTAACTCACTGAATGGTCACTCTGTCATCTTCCAAATTTCCTCAGGATCTGTGGAAGTCCCCATTCCCTGTAGATTCCCTATAGTTCCACTCTAGTCTTCCTGCTGCAGTCGGTTTGCTCTAAATTTGTTGGCCCAGGGCAGCTGAATATTGGCTTTCTGGGCGTTTCTCATTTCTGGTGTCAAGCACTTGTCCAGCACATTGGGTTTTATATGTGAATGCGTGAGATGTGCCGTGTGGGAATTTCACATCATTTATTTCTTTTTTTTTTTTTTTTTGAGACAGAGTCTCACTCTTTTGCCCTGGCTAGAGTGAGTGCCGTGGCGTCAGCCTAGCTCACAGCAACCTCACCCTGCTGGGCTCATGCGATCCTTCTGTCTCAGCGTCCCGAGTAGCTGGGACTACAGGCATGCGCCACCACGCCCGGCTAATTTTTTCTATATATTTTTAGTTGTCCAGATAATTTCTTTCTATTTTTAGTAGAGACGGGGTCTCGCTCTTGCTCAGGCTGGTTTCGAACTCCTGAGCTCAAACAATCCGCCCGCCTCGGCCTCCCAGAGTGCTAGGATTATAGGTGTGAGCCACCACGCCCGGCCACACATCATTTATTTCTGCAGACTCATGTCCCACCCCTGCCTCTGTTTCTGCCTTTGGCAGTGACACCAAAACCTGCTTTGACCCAGTTTGAAGTATCCTTCTCACTGTTTCGGTAAATGGGTCATCCTGTGAATTAATTTTCCACTAAGTGAGCTGAGCCCCAGTAACCAGCAGAACCAGGAGAACTTGAACTCCAAATGCTGTGCTGTGGTTCCCTAATACCCAGTCGCCTTCTTGAGCTTTGTGTGACCCGAGTCCTTGGCTGTGTGTTTGGGGGCTCGTTCGCGGCTTCTTGTTCGGGTTCTGGCGCCTCTGATGCAGCCTCGGCCTCAGCCTGTGCCGATCTGCTCTGCGCCTTACTGGTGTTTGCTCTGCATCCCCAGCACCGCCGCATGGGCAATTAGGTGCCTAATAAAGGCTTCGCGCTGCTGATGGTGATGATGATGATGTGCACTGACTGTGATGATGACAACTGGGAGCGATGGAATGAATTATGCAGAGGGGCTGTTAAGCTAAACATCAAAGTCTCCTGATGCTGAAATTTACAGAATTGTTGGCGCCTCCTTGGGGCAGGTTGGAAACCCTCCTCCTTGGAGACAGCCGATCTCTCTGTATATCAGGGTGTTTATAGCCAGCATCACTAAAACTCAGAAAAGGTTTCTGAGTGCTGCCAGATCCGGGGTTGCAGAGAAGGGATGGCTATGTGCCCTTTTATATCTGCTTCTAATAGTGATACGTCAGAAATCTACAGAAGTGTGGGCATGCTGACTGCAGTGCGGTTAAGATGGCCAACATTTTTGGTGCTCCTCCATGGAGAGCTGAAGTTGGCTCCCCTGACACTGAATTGGTCTTATGAGTTGCTTTGACCAATAGAATGTGGCAGAAGTGACTTGTGCCGGTTCCAGATCTGGACTTTGAATGGTCTCCCAGCTTCTGCTTAGGCTTCAGTTGCTGTGCTGTAGACATCTGGGCCACCAGGTGAGAGGCCATGCAGGGAGGGACCTAGGGGACAAGTGGCCATCTTGGGCATGTCACCCCCCAATTGAGCTCCCAGCTGAATGCAGTGATACACAGGATCCCAGCTGACATCATGTGCAAGCAGAAAACAGCCTGGCTGAGCCCTGCCTAACCTCCTCAACCACAGAATCCAGAAGAAGAGTACATTGTTATTGTTTTAAGCCACTAAGTTTTGGGGTGGTATATTATACAGAAATACCTGATACATAATTGCTCTGTTGGAGCCAACAGGAAACTGGGAGACTCCACCACAGGACTCTGGGATCCATCCCTATAGAGGACATAGACATTCCCCCCAGCCAGGCCTGTCTATCTTGGGGGTAGTTGTGGAGAACAGTGTCAAAGGAACCCTGGTACCTGCTGGGAAGGCTCCTCCCCAAAGAAGGCCATGAGCTAAGTGGCCCTCCTATGGGAATATTTAGTGTCCCCCTAAAATTTGTATGTTGAAACCCTCACCCCCAATGTGATGTTATTTGGAGATGGAGCCTTTGGGGGGTGATTAGGTCATGAGTGGAGAGGCCTCATGCATGGGATTAGTGCCCTTATAAAGGGGGCCCCATGAGCTCTCTCACCCTCTTTGCACCTTGAGAAGACAAGTCTGCAACTCAGAAGAGGCCCTCACCAGGACCTCACCATGCTGGCACCTGATCTGGGACTTCCAGCATCCAGAACTGTGAGAAATCAATTTCTGGTGTTTCTAAGCCACCTGCTCTATGGTAGTCTGTTACAGCAGCCCCAAATAAGACAGCCCCCATGGCTCCTGCCTCCGCCCAATCCTTCCCCAGGATCATACACCCAAATACTTACAGAGGTTCGGCAAGTATACGTGAACAAGTTCCAAAAGGAACTGTATTTCCCATTTTTTTGAGACAGGCAGCTCTTCCTGGGTGTTTCATTCTCACTTTTGCTAGACATGGGAGTAAAACAGAAATGATCTCTACTAGCAGACAAACAACCATGCGAGGGCACCCAAATGGCAAGTGACACTGGCTTCAGGCTCGGGGTGGCAATCAGAAGTGGTGGTGGACGGATGCTGTGGTGTGCTGCCCACATCCCTGACAGAACGAGGCATCATTCCCTTGGCACCAGGAGCATGCATGCTGAGGTTGTTCTTGGGGTCACTCTGTGGGAATTGTCCTCAGTTGAAAATAGCCACCTTACTTATATTTATGCCCCTCCCCTGGGATAGCCCGCATCCAGCGGTGATTACTATGACTCCATCCTTGGGGTAGGACGACTCAGAAAGGCCATCCTAGCTCCTGTGGGATGAGCGAAGCCCTTGGTGTGACCAGTCCACCACACTGCGATTCAGCTTCCCTATCCGGTCCTTGTTCCTTCATCCCGCTATCAGTGTTGATCCTGAGACCACCCCCAAAAACTCCTGACTGTAAATCCCCATCTCAGGGACCCCACCTACAAGCAGGGCTGACGATGGCGAGGGAGTGGGCAGCTGCTGCTCTCGCCCATTGTCACGTGTTGTAACTGGGCTAGATCTTGCAACATTTCGTGAGAGGTTATAAATCTAGAATTTTATGTGGAATCTCATAATATTTAAATGTCAGCTTGCTTTTTGGTTGTCCCTTTTACAATCTCTGAATTCAACCTTCTTCACCAAAGATCATGGGTTTAATCATGAAATAGATCCAGTTTCTTGAACCCAGCAAACAAAATCTATGCATTCCCACATCCCACCTTGTCCCTGCTAACTCTCTGATGATTGGTCAAATATGAAAAGAGATGGTAACAGCATTGACCTTGATGTAGGCTTGCAATCTTATTTCAAGTTCATTGCCTGTTACAATGATGCCTTTCCACTGCATTATTCAAGTCATAGGTTAATGATCCACTTTGCACTCATTGGAAATGACCACAGTGGGGTCTCAGCTGGGTCCTAAGATGAGACATGAGGACATCAGCTCCTTCGTGGTGGAGATGCCCCAGTTTCTCAGCCTCTCACTGTCCCACCCACTTGCCTTGTCCTCAAGTGTTGGAACAGAAAATCACTAGCCGTGTAGGTCTACATCAGTGAAACTCTAGGTCTTTCGCTTTACATTTTAGCTTATTTCTGAAACTGTTGGTAGAACGAATGCACACAACTGTACAAACCAGTGTGGAATTGCCCAGTCCTACGGTTCCCCGTGTGCCGTAATTTACAGATGTTCCCAATGCTGACTGCATAGACACTGGAAGAGACTACCATGAGAGGTGGTCTGGCTGCAGGTCTATAGGCATCGTTAACCCCTCCCTGTTTCTTACATGCCTTCAATCAACTGGAGATTTAATCTACATCTGCTTCTTTCAAGCTCTCGATCTCAAGAGGCAACAGGACACTTTGTTGTTCCCTTCCAGTATAAAGAAATGCCTGTTGCTCTTGTACTTCCACACAGGAAGACAGCCAGGTGGCCTTGTCCATGCATAGCCAAGGTTACGTTGCCTGAGTAGGTGGATGGTGCCACATCTGTATTTCTGGCCAGTTAGCATTTGCCACTGCACTGTTGGCACTAATTGGGGACCTCCTCCTGACCACAGGATGATCTTGAAGTGAGCGACATTCTCCTTATAGGTCATAGGAAAATAAACACTGCCATGCTATCTATCCTTTTTATTGAACTGTGCTAGGATTTGCCTGGAATATAGTCAACACTTGATAATTATTTATGGAATGACTGAATGGATATCAGTAAAGGTAGTTTCTGGATGACATTCTGATATAATTATTTGGATGCTCAGAGTTTAAATGTGTGTCCCTGACTTTATCCAATAATTTTACTTTTCCCCTCAAGTACTTCCAATGTCCAATATTGTAGTTGTCCTTAAATTAAGTGACCAGGTTCCTGAAAGCCCTGCAGGACCTGCCCCCAACTCACCTCTTCGGCCTCATGTCTCTATGTTTCCTCCCTCTTCTGCCCGCAGTGCTCCAGCCATACACAATTTCCTTTGCTCCTGTAAAGGGGCAGACTTCTTCTTGCCCCAGGGCCTTTGCACATCCTGCTCTGTCTGCTGAAACATTCTTCCACCATCCTCACTAGCCCAATTCATTCAAACTCACTCTCCAAGTCACAGATTAGATGTCACTCCCCTGGAACACCTTTCTCAACCCCCTAAGTCATTTGGGTTAGATACACCTCTTGCAGCTCCAGCAGTTTCCTTATTTAGCCCTCATCAGACTGCATTGCAGTGACCTCGCTACCTACTGTCCCTCTCACCAGCCTGTAAATGGACCGCAAGGAAATGTGTTCATTGTGGTACCCTCAGAGCTTTGGTTGGTTGAATGAATGAATGAATTGGCCATGAGAGTTCTATTCTTATGCCCTCCAGGAGGTAGAAAATGCAGGATTTGGAGAACAGACTTTGGAATCAGCCAGGCTTGGGTGAGCAGCCTGACCCCACCCATCCTTATTCACATAAGGCAATAGAAACCACTCAGGACAGCTTTAACCTAAAAGGAGCTTACGTTAAAATATTAGTTAGCTCATAGAAGCTCTGGAAAAGTTATCAAACTGAACATGCCAACTATGGTTCTATAACATGGCCAAAAATTCTTAGACCCCTCATCAAAGATGGAGTCTAATTGTCCCCGCCTTGAATATTGGCTGACTCTATCTTAATGAATAAAATATGGTAGGAGAGACGGTACATGAAGCCAGGTGATACTGCTTCTGCCTCTGTCGATCTCTCTCTCTCTCTCTCTCTCTCTCTCCCTCCCCCACCCCTTGATGCTTACCCTAGGAACCTCACCTCCATGTTGTGAGGAAGCCAAGCAGCCTCTGGGAAAACCATGTGCAGGTGTCTGGCCATGGCCGCAGCTAAGGTCCCACCCAAGAGCCAGCATCGACCGCTAGCCCTGTGGGTGAGCAGGGCTCACATGGTCCCAGCCGTCAAGCTACCTCGCCAATGCTGGTGAAAGGATTATCCCTGCCAAGCCCTGTCCAAATTCAGATTCATAAGCAATGTAGACATTGCCATTGGTTTAAGCCCCTCAGTTTCGGGATGGTCACTCAGACAATGATAGATAACCAGAACATCAGCTCTGCAGCTGCGAGCCCCACCCAAACCGCCCTGCGGGAGTGCAGCAGCGAGGGTCCCAGTGCCGCCCCCAAGGGCCCCACAGTGCACACCCCGGTGCTGGACACTGCCGTCAGCGCCAGAACTTTGGCCACAGCTGTCACTGTTGTGGCCGTGGTGAGAAGGAAGGCAGCCAGGCCACCCAGGAGTGCGTGTGCTGGCTGCGAGCATGAGCTCTGCTGTTGGCCAGCTGTGTGACCTCAGGCCAGCTTCCTAACCCCTCTGGGCCTCGATTTCTCGTCTCTAAAGCGGAATCAACAGGGGTTCCTTGTGCACAGGGTTGTCTTGAGGGTCAGACAAATGAATAGAAATGACGAGAACAGCGCTTCCCCAGTGAGTGTGCGCTGTCCTTTTCTACATCAGCCCCATCACCTCCTGTCTGGAATATTCTTTCCATCATAGCTGTCATGACTATGTGACCTTATCAAATGTATTTATGTGTCCCTTGTTTGCCGTCTGCCCTCCTTCCCGGTGGCTCGTAAGCTCGATGTGGGAAGCACGTTTGCTCTGTTATCACTGAATCTTCAGCGCCTAGAAGAATGTCTGTGGAGCATGAATCACGCTCTCAGCAAATGCTTGCTGAGCAAACGAATGAGGAGGCTGATAACATCATCACAGAACTGATAACACTAATACAAAACATACAGTAAGGCTTGCAGGAGAGCTACGCAAAGCTACCGGGCTTCTTCGAAGGAAAGAGAGATAAATCCCATCAGCTGAGGGTTCTAGGCAAGGCTTTGGTGAAAGGGCAGCACGGCTGATGGGCCTCAGAGCGGAGAGGGAATTTCGAGAGAAGAAGTTGTGATGTGCAACATGCGATGGAGGGAGAATCAGTAAGAGCAAAGACCCAAGCAAGGAAGCCGGAGCGTGCTTAGGAAACCGCCAGGGACGCTTGGACTGGTCCGCAGGGACTGGATGGGGCTGAGATCACATACACTGGCTGAGACCACTGTCACAGCGTGCGCCTCGAAGGGTAGAACATTCTGTAGGTCCCAGGTGGATTCAGCGCAGGTACCTCCAGCTCATGTCCACCTGGGCCTGACTCTTCCTGTGCCGTGCAAGCCAGGAACGACCCATGCTGCCACTCCCGAAAAGGATGTGAGTGGCTCTCGTTCTTTTCCTTTTTTAAGAACATCAGGCACAGAGGTTGGGTTTTTTAATTCTGAATTCTAAAGGAGGTGTCCTACCTTCAGAGCCTGGAGGCTCCTGAACATGGTTCAGCAGTGGGACAAACAAGCATGTTTCCAAGAGTGCCCAAGAGCACCGAGCACCCGAAGAGAGCCAAGTGGAACAAAGGACACTGCCTTCTCAGAGGAACATGTGGGGACCAGAGTGGGAACGACGATCGTGTGTGTTTTACCCTGTGTCTAGCGGGGAAAAAACCAAATCTGTCACCTTCTGCACACTTGCACAACAGAGCGACCCAACGCTGTCTGTGTCGAAGGCAGTGCCAGAACCGACTTCCCTGCCCAGGAGCTGATACTTTGCAGACAGTGGGGTAGGAAGGATGCCCTTTTCATCACATGTTTAATACAAAACAAGCAGTGAAAGTTTAAATAATTACCTGTGAACGACTGTGTATGTTTCTTTCATCTAATTAGGTAATCTGCCCAGGTGTTTAGCACCAAGGCCTTTCTGCTTTAATTGGAAAAAGTCAAGGACAGAAACTAATTAGCAGCATTAATCCAAACCAGAAGCCTAATGATATTAACCACAAATCACCATTGCAATCAGCAACCTTTATTCTAAACCATTTTCAAAGTTGGGGAGGAGGGGTAGAAAACAAAGTGCTTTTGAGCTTTAGAATACGGACTTCCAACCACTAATTTCGGGCAACTTTGATCCGTTCTCTCAAAGAAACTGAAAGAATTGTGATTAACAAAAAGGCAGTTCAGAATTATAAGTGAATGAATACTTCATTCATATCCACTGTTTTTAGGTGAGAAATAATTAAATACCATCATAAATTCAATAGTGGTCAGTTCTGCTCACACATTCTGCCTCACCTCTCTCCTGGAGTTCCCTCCAGTTTATAAATGTTGATCCACCTGTACCTGCAACTTTCAAAGGTCAAATAGATTTTTATGACCTCAGAACTCTTCTAAAATTTCCCTTTGATTCATTTCAGTTTCTATTTCAAAGTGAGAGAAACATAACCAAATTACACAAGGAAAAATCCACAGTCCCACAGTAGCTAATGGAGCATTGTGTTTATAAAACCAATAGGCTGTTTTTATGATGGGCCTTTTCTGCTCGCATCTTTGGCTGTTTTCCAAAATTTGTCATTTCTTGCAGCATTGATGTATGAGAACCGGTGGTTTGAAAACACAAGTAGAAACAGAGCACACAGATTTGATCTGTTTTGTTATTAGTTAACATAAAATGACATTGGAGTAATTTTACATTCCTAGCGACCTGACATTTTAAGTGATTAATTAGATAAAAGTAAAATTGGATGAAAAGCCCAATTTAGGATTGGGCTGAAGACTAAAGAAGCCCCACTCCAAGGATCAGGAAACTCGACCACATATTAATCCTAATTTATTGTACCAAAGTGCATTTTTCTGTCCCTTTTCTGCCTGATGACTTGAGTTTTGTTAGTGCTGCTGGCCACATCCCCCAAGGTTAGTGTCGAATAACTTAAACTTGGGCCCCAACAGGAAAAGGAACTTGAACTGTCATTTTGGGTTTCGATTCTCCCCTGATTTTCTGTTCCTCATTCCCCTCCTTCACCACCTCCCAGTCTCCACCCTCTCACCCTACAAAATTAACAAAAATTTAAAACAGAAAAACTGACTTTCTAAACAATAAAATCTAAGGATTTGCATAATTCAGTATCTGCCTTTCAGAAATTTTTCAAAAAGGAAAAAAAAAAGCTTTCATTCTCTAGAATGTAAACTGACTCTGCCTCGTGAGAACATGCCTGTGTCCCAAACATTGGCCCTCGAGAGTTTGTGGCTTAGAAACCAAACCCAAGAGTGTAAATAAAACCTGTGTATAAAGTAATGCTTTCGGCAGCTGCTTTGGGAGGTTCTCTCGGTTTGTTTATTTATTTTTTCATACTTTCTTTGTTTGACACATGCTAGATTTCTCCTAGCTAGCTACCAAACATTGCTCACATTTAAGGGTTAAAATAATGGGGTCATTATTGGGCTATTCCCGAGGAA